AGGGGGATAGCTTGAGGCTCTGTCTCAAAAAAAAAAAAAAAAAAAACCCAGAAAAAGAAAAAGTTAGGCCCTGCATGGTGGCTTGTTTGAGCTCAGCAGTTTGAGACCAGCCTGAACAAGAGTGAGACCTCCATCTCTAAAAATAGCCATTGTGATGGGCACCTATAGTCCCAGCTACTTGGGAGGCTGAGGCAAGAGAATCACTTAAGCCCAAGAGTTTGAGTTTGCTGTGAGCTATGATGCCATAGCACTCTACTGAGGGTGACACAGTGAGACTCTGTCTCAAAAAAAAAGATTTGCATTCAGGCCAGGTGCAGTGACTCATGCCTATAATCCTAGCACTCTGGAGGCCCAGACCAGAGGATCTCTTGAGCTCAGGAGTCTGAAAACAGCCTGAGCAAGAATGAGACCCCCATCTCTACTAAAAATAAAATAAATTAGCTGGGTGTTGTGGTAGGTACCTGCAGTCCCAGCTACTGGGGAGTGTGAGATAGGAGATGGCTTGAAGCCAGAAGTTTGAGGTTGCTGTGAGCTAAGCTGATACCATTGCACTGTAGCCTTAGTAACTGAGTTAGACTCAAAATAAAATGAAATAAAATAAAATATTCCACATTTATTCATTGGTTGAGTATTTCAAGCCAGAGTATATTTCTTTTTTCCAAATGTGAGTTTTGTCTACTATTGCTTGGTGACCCAAGAGCTTCTGGAATCACAGGGCCCATATGCAGAGTTAGTCCACCGGACAGCTTCATCGGGTGAGAGTAGGGGAGGGCTAGAGGGTTTCCCAAAGGCCCCAAGATTCATTCACTCAGTGTGGCAGAGAAACCACCACACTAGAAGCTGTGTGACTGTGTCTGAGGTGGGTGGAAGAGAGGGCAATGGCATGTCAGAATGGGAAGGTTCTCTCCAGGACTGGTCTGACCGACCCATGTGAGCTCGATTCCAAGGAGGCCCAGACCCAGGTATGAGAGAGATAGAGGGAGTCAGACTTCAGCCCTGTTTAAGACCTTCCCACAAGTCTGAGGCAGGTTTAATGGGGAAACATCAGAGTCAGTTTTCAAATGGAGACTCTCCTTCTCTAATCACACTGCTCCCAAATGGAAGGATTCCCAAATGCCTTGGGAGGGAAGGAGCCCCAAGCAGACTGAGAAGTCATACATAGTACTGGTCTAAGTAGTCAGGGGTCAATGGACTCAGATGTTCCTAAGTTCTAATCCTAGCTTAGACCCTTCCTGGCTGGACAGTCCTGAGCAAGTTCCTCAGTCTTTCAAGTCCTAGTTCATGTAAAGTGGGAAGTCAAAGCTCACAGGAATTTTTTTTTTTTTTTTTTGAGACACAGTTTCACTGTGTCATGCTGAATAGAGTACCATGGCATCATCATAGCTCACAGCAACCTCAAACTCTTGGACTTGAACAGTCCCCTTGCCTCAGCCTGCTGAGTAGCTAGGACTATAGGCGCCCACCACGATGCCGAGCTAGTTTTTCTATTTTTAGTAAAGACAGGGTCTGGCTTTTGCTCAGGCTTGGTCTTGCACCCCTGAGCTCAAGCAATCCTCCCACTTGGGCCTCCAGAGTGCTGGGATTACAGACAAGAGCTACCTTGCCTGGTTCACTCACCAGATTTTTGTAATAATGAAATGAAAACACAAATAAAGCATGTAGAACTTAGTGTGCACCTGTTGTGAGATCAGTGTCAGGAAATGGTCACTACTGTTGCTCCACTGCTACTTCTGCTGCTGTTATTACTACTCATAGCTGAAGAGGCTGAGTGCCACTGCCTCTTAGAAATTTCCCAAGGATTACACTCTTTATCTATCATGACTGCCCCAAGTCATCATCATCATCATCATCATCAAGACTGTCCCAAGTCATCATCCAACCCCTGGCAAATGCTTTGTGCCTTGTGCAGCAGGAGCCTACCTAACTCTGGGCCGCGGCCACATCCAGGGTGCCTAGGACCTAACTATCCTCAAAGGTGGGTGGCCTAAGATAAGCTTCACAGGGCAGATGGGGTAATTGAGTCTATAAAAGAGCAAGGGACTTTGCAGGCCGGGATGCAGAACTAAAACCTGCTGGGTAGAAGGCAGCCCCTTTCTGTACCCAGGAAATGAGACCGCGTTAAACAAGCGCGTTACACGAAGCGCGCGCGCGCACACACACACACACACACACACACAGCGACACCAACAAGGCCACACTCGCCTTGTTGTCCAATGCCCAGCTGGACATCTGTCCCGAGGGCAGCAGGCGACCTCGCCTCGTCCCGCCTCCTCTAGCCAGGCCCCTCCCGTGGGAGCGGAAGCGGCGGGCCAAGGGTGTTTGGGGTTAGAAGGTTCAGCGGAAATTGAGGGGCGGCCCTGGGACTGGAGGGGGCGAGGCAAAAGGAAGGAGGTTGGGCCCCAGAGCCAGGAGCCTGACCTGGGCTCGCGCCTCCCCCACACCTCCAGTCTGCTGGGACAGCACACATCATCCACAGGCATAAAGTACACACGCGCACAGTGCAGCCTGCAACCCGCAGCCACACGGGCGGGTGCACACCTGCGGGGCCCGCTTCCCGCGCGCTGCGTCCTCGCTCCCGCTGACTCTGCACCGCACCCGGCACTCGGAATGCGGCCTGTTCCCAGGGCACCCCACGCTGGTCCTGGCGATGTCCTCACAGTCACCAGGTGCCCAGCCCTCTAAACGGTCCTCACCATCCACGGAGGCACATCCAGACCCCTGAGACCCATTCCCACCTACACCTGTCACCAACAGGCTCACGCGGATCCTCGCAGAGCCCGCAGACACCCCGACAAGTATATCCCACGGGTCCCTCACACACAACCCTCCCCAACCACACAAGTTCCCTGCCGCACACTCACACAAAACAGACAACGGCATACCTTCCTGTCCAGGTGACAGTCAGACACCTCAGTCGCCGGCTCCCCCAACTCTCCCCGCAGGTGCGCAGCCCTGTCCCAGCCCAATTCAGCCACACTCGGGAGACCCCACCTCCTGCGGGGCCGCGTCACCTGAGATTCCGGGGGGTACTCGGCCCAAGACTCCCCCCGGACAGCCGGTATGTTAAAAGTTATGTGTAACAGGCAGCACGCCGACCCCCGGAGGCTCCGGCGCCCAGTTCCCCCAGCCGCCCCCTCCAACCTGCCAGTCTCCGAACCGGTCCACTCCCCGGCCCTCCGCCGATACCTTGCTTGCCCGAGTGTCCCTCGTGGGTCCTGGCGCTGCCGGTGGTCCGGGACAGCGCAGGTGGACTGGGGCCCTCTCTGCTGCAGCTGAGGTCGGGATCCGATCCAGGTCCCGCCCCGGCCCGGACCCCAAACAGCGGACGCGTGCGGAGCCGGCGCCGCTTCTGCTGTGAGTGTCTCCAGAGCGCTGGGCGCCGACTCCAGATCCCGGCCCGGGTGATGCAAACCTGAGCTAATCAGCCGCCGCCTGATGCCCTCAGGCCGGGGATTGCACCATCCACCGCGCCCCGCCTCTCCGGGACTCCGCCCGAGCGCGCTCCGCCCGGGCGTCTCCAGTAGGTCCGCCCGGTGGCCAGCCGGCCAGCTAGGGGTGTCTAGTCTCGACCCCCTTACTCTGTCCCGCCCTGTCCCCGGAGCTTGTGTGCAGACACCAGTCACTGACTCTTACTTTGGGAAATTTTTTTTTTTTTTTTTTTTTTTTT